TTAAGACACAACTAAGTAGAAATGAAGCCATCACTAAACCAAGACACACAGGAACTACACTTCATTTCAGGGGAAAAAAAACCCAAGTAATTTCTACCATGTTAGAAGAATAAAGTTCATTTGTCATAGTATATATTATCACATTCTCTTAAAACAGGGACTACCTAGACTCTTTAAATTAAAAAACAGCCGGGCATGGTGGCGCACGCCTTTAATCCCAGGACTTGGGAGGCAGAGGCAGGCGGATCTCTGTGAGTTCAAGGCCAGCCTGGTCTACATAGTGAGTTCCAAGACAGCTGGGGCTACAGGGAGACTCTGTCTTAAAAAGATGAAAAAAGCAAACAAAAAAAACGTTCAGGCATAATTCTGTCTGTACATTTAGGGACAATCATATGACTGATTACATAAAATTCTCTCATCATGCAAAAAGCCTCAGTTAACTGTTTTCTAAGATCTAATTAAATGAGATAATATTAGCAGCTTAATTGCCAAGCTGCTAATCAGAGGGACAGAGAGGTCAAGCAGTTGAGCTGCACTTCCTGCCTGGATGCCTGCTAGTCCTTGCTCTGCTCTCTTCGTGCAGTGGAACTGGCAGTACTGACAGTCGAAATGAGAATTTCATCACTGCAGCAAATGACAGAGGATGTGAGAGGAAGAAGAGTTCCTGATGTCCAACAACCTTTGCTGTTCTGTATCACAGTCTTTACAGTTGCATGTACAGGTACAAAGGAGTAGGGAACAAGCAAGATGTTAAGACAGGTGCAAAAAGGGGCTGCTGCCATGGCGACCCTATATAGTGGATCTGAAGTCTGCCCATGTGCCAAGCAAACAGAGCAGACGCCAGTGCAACTCTAACCTGGTATTTATTTGTGGGGGAAAAAGCTAGTCTGAATGAGAAAATTTCCAGTTCTTTTCTTGCAAACACAAAGAAAGTCAATAGAATTTTAAAGGTCATAGATGAGAAAATACAACAGTAACTCCTACAGTCATTTTCTATAAGCTGGAACAAGTTGAAGACAAGTGTTAAAAATTCCTTTCGGCCTGAATATCCACATACATACCCCATAGCACCGACAGGAATTTGACAAAAAAAATAATAACCAACCCTCCCTCAACAAACTTTTATAAGAGGTGCTATATCTAGAAGTAGCCAAAATAAATTAGCGCCCCCAGACATTATTTAATCTCTAAAGCATAAAAAGCTATATAATATACAAATTAACCAGTGTTCTTATAAAAGTAAAGCAGTTTTGCACTAATGACATTACATTGTATTTGTGGTGAAGTATGAGGCATAAGAATATGTGCATTAATTAGGCATTTTTAGTCTAATCAGTCTTATTTAATTCTTGGCAATATATAATATAATAATTGGTCTGTATTTGGGACTTAAGCCATGCATTGTAGAGAACAAGAAGCAGTGTCTGTAGTAACAAGGTTGGTATTTGACAAATGACTGCAATGTCGGACTAATTTCTTTTCATGAACTCTGATTTGTTTTGCCGTTGGCCAGCTGTAGTAGACCCTTGATTTGAGTCTTCAGCATCCAGGCCACGTGCAGTCTAACATTTCTTCACCCTCCTCCTCATCCAGGCCACGTGCAGTCTAACATTTACCTCCTCCACATCCAGGCCACGTGCAGTCTAACATTTCTTCACCCTCCTCCTCATCCAGGCCACGTGCAGTCTAACATTTCTTCACCCTCCTCCTCATCCAGGCCACGTGCAGTCTAACATTTCTTCACCCTCCTCCTCATCCAGGCCACGTGCAGTCTAACATTTCTTCACCCTCCTCCTCATCCAGGCCACGTGCAGTCTAACATTTCTTCACCCTCCTCCTCATCCAGGCCACGTGCAGTCTAACATTTCTTCACCCTCCTCCTCATCCAGGCCACGTGCAGTCTAACATTTCTTCACCCTCCTCCTCATCCAGGCCACGTGCAGTCTAACATTTCTTCACCCTCCTCCTCATCCAGGCCACGTGCAGTCTAACATGTCTTCACCCTCCTCCTCATCCAGGCCACGTGCAGTCTAACATTTCTTCATCCTCCTCATCGTGTAGATCCTTTGAGATTGTCAGCTGGTTTAACACTGAGCCCTTCGTTGTGGTGAAGCTCCTTTTCCTCTCGAATCGTGGCTTCTTTTCCTGCTCTTCAGATGAGAGGTCGTTACCTTCTCCACTGCTTCTTGTTCCTGAATTTGAGTCTTCGGCTGGCTCCAATCCTTCAGCAGCAGCTCATTTCTTAGCTGAGTCTGGAGTCACGGATTCACCCCCTTCGGAATCACATCTTCATCCTATCATATTATGATAAGGGGTTTATCTGTTTCCATGGAGCCATAGTCCTTGTCTGCGGGATGATATGTTGCCAGGATGTTCATTCCATCCCACTTCCGGGATGTTTTCCTCCGCTCCTCCTCCAAACACTCCTGGCGTTCAGACAAGGCCACGTCGGGGACCTCGGAGCTCTCGTTCTTCAGGGTTCCCTCGGTGGGCCGGTCCTCGGGCTGTCGGCCGGGGTTGCTGCTGGCGTGGGGTCCTGGAGGGGAAGGGTGGGCGCTGCAGGGACGTCCAGGCAGCCCGGAGCCTGGGCAGGGCTAAAACGCCGCACCCCCGCGGTTTGCGCCGGCCTTGGCTCTCTGGACGCAGTGAAGTGCTGGGGTTCCATAGCCAGCTGCAGGGGCCATGACCAGTATTCTTAAACTGCTGAGCCGTCTCTCCAGCCCAATCGTTTGCTTTTGACATTGTTTCATTTAATCAAAGCATGCTTATTTTTATTTTTAAAGCTATTGAACTGTTCTACCTCATCCACTGGACCCCAAAAAGACCACCCGAGGACCCCAACACACCAAAATGCAAAAGCAAAGGTTTATGGTTTATTCCGGCTTGAGCTCGGGCTCTCAGACCTCTCACCAACTCAAGGGATCCGTGCTGAGAGCCCAGAGTAAGGGATAGTGGAGCCTTTTATAGGTTTTACACAGAGGAGGGGGATACCGAAGATACATTTTGGTTGGTTCAAGGAGCCTCACGCGCCAACATAATTTTAAACTGATTGGATGTATAAGATGCAGCCCTGGAAGTTTCTTATTGGTAGGCGCTATTCTCATGGCTGTGGGAGGGG